ATGCATATTTAATTCATAATGCATTACATTTTTTTTTTTTTAAATGGGCTTGCACCTACAAGGCACAATCGCCATAAGATGTGAACGCTATGAAATGGAGAAATGATGTATATGCTTTATTTTGTTAAGAAATATTTGGTACGGAGGTTATTTTACTTGGCTTTGTTTTATGTTATGTGATGTTGCATCATAGGTATATAGGCGATTTATAATTTTACAAAGCACTTACTCATTTTTTATACGAAAATTCCTCATAAATCCCTAATGCCATAATTCATTTCCTTGTCAGTCCCTCCTTTAATTTTTTTACTCTGCACTCCCTAACTCATTTGTCTCTTTCCTCTCAACTCCCCATATATATACTTATATTATTATTATTCATTTATTTTACTTGATTTTCATAAAAAAAAATCAATTTCAGTTCTTTATGCTCTTTCTCTCTCTTCTTCTGCGTCTCTGCTTCTCTCTCTCTCTCAAAATCAGCCGATCGTCTCTCCTTGAAAATTTCATGGCCTCTCTGAAAATTCCATTCGTCTCTTTGTTCATTCCCCCTCCCGTCGTCGGCCATATCTCCGGAAAGCTTGCCCTCCTACTCGTCGTTCCACATCCTTTCTTTTCAGAGAACCTCTTATTCCCCAAAACAATGGCGGGCTCGGAAAACCATCCTCCTCGTCGTTCCACATCCGACAAACCATCCTCCACAATAAGTAAGGAAAGATTTTGGGGATTTTTTTCCACAATTTTGAATTTTTTCTTCAATTCGAAATTTGGGGATTTTTTTTCAAAATTTTGAATTTTTTATTGAATTCGAGATTTTCAAAATTTGGTATTTGGTTGATGCTAATGCACTTTGAATTTGAATTTTATTTCTCCAATTACGAATTTTATTGATAAATTCGGGCTCTTTGCATGTTTAGGGTTCATATTTTTTTGATTTTGATATATTTTTTTTATCAATTGAACCTTGCATGAGTTTATTGGACTTCTTTTCAGGCCCAACTTTACTTGAATTTGGTTTGCAACTAGCCACTAAGGTATAGATTGGAAGTAACTGGTTTTGTTTCATGTGGTGAGTTGACATTTAACAATCAGATGGTTTTGGATGATGAAATTTCATATGCTAACAAGTGGGATTATTAGTAGAGATCAAGCTGCAATCAAGAGAATATTATCTTTGATTTCACTTCCATTGGATGACTTTAAAGACCTTTACTATCCATCATATGCCGAGTGGGTAATATGGGGGACCCACACCGACATACTGAAAAACTCCTTTTCATATGCTATGTGCAACATTTTTCTTGAATAAACTTCATACAATTTTTATTTTTTTNNNNGTATTAATTGCCCGGGGGTTGACCGGATAGTTTAATTAATTAGTAGAAGGCATGTACATCCACTCGTTGGATCTAGGAATCGATTTATGTAATTTTGTAAATTATATTTCGGAAGTTATTCTTGACATATCTTCAAGTTTTATCATAATTCAGAAATGCATCTTTCCATTGTAATTACCCATATCATAATTCTGATATTGGTGTTTAGTTTTCTAATTATTATTAGATTGTTTTTAGTGGTATTTGTTCTACTTGTAAGCTAATCTCTTACTTCTGATTAGAACATTGAATCACTTTTTGTCTAACAGTAGTGGTTGTAGCCACTCTTGAAAACTTTGTTATATCTTTGTGCTTTTCTTGTGGTGTGTTGCATGTTCCATTCCTTTGAGTTGATGGCCATGTATTAGAAGTTTATTTGTTCATCTGATTGAATATTTCTTAGACAGTAATATTGATCACCAAGCTATTGTCCATTGAATAACTGCAATCTACACTGTCAAAAAATAAATAAAATAAGAAAATAATTTATGAAGGGTAGAGAAATGTTCAGTGCTCAGTAGAAACAGATGCCACGACGCTATTGGCTGGAGAATCTTCATGTTGAATCGAGTGAATTAATCATGGTATGATTATCTTCCTTAGCTCCAGACAAATGAATTGGCCTGAGATCAATTTCACTTTGTAAAATGGCATACTAAAATCATAATGCTTACAGCTGCATTGGGTGTATATTGGGATCATTTACAAAACTGACCGAGGGCATGGCAGCACGCATCCTCAGAAATCATTCATGTTGATACTGTTTGGCTTATGTTGTGAACAATAGGTCTTATTGTAGATTTTTGGCTTGTTTTTGAACAATAAGTGTTATGAATGTGGATGTTTGGCTTGTTTTTGAACAATAGGTGTTATGAATGTGGATGTTTGGCTTGTTTTTGAACAATAGGTGTAGACTGTTTGGATGATGGTTTTGGAATATAGTTTATGGACGAAAGGGAACAAATAATATGATTTCTATTTGTTTTTTAAACTGTTACCAGTTTTTCCTTACATAAGTACCAATATTATAGGATATTAGTACTCATTTTTCCAGAGTTGAGTACCTACTTTGTAAAAAGGAAAAAAAAATGTGCAAGTTCTTTAGCGATACTTGTTTTCATCAGAATATTACCAGTTTTACCGATAATAGTACCACGTCTTCTTCTATGCAGTATCAGTTCTTGATGGATTAGTAGCTACTTTGTAGTATAAACAAAAATGGATTACTTCAATTTTGGTCAACATTTGCAAAATAAGTACCAGACCTAGAGTAAGATAGTATCGATATTATGGTGTTCTAGTACCATATATCGGGTCTTCAGTACCAACTTCGACGAACATTAAAAAAATAAAAAAAGATATTTGTAAAATAGTACCAATTTTACAACGTTTTTATGACCAAATCACTCGTGAACAATTCGTTTAGTATATTAATTAATAGTTCTATCTATATTAATTAATATTTTTCAACCAACTCCGACGAGCATAAAAAAATGAATTTTGTAAAATGGTACCAGTTTTTCAAGAAATAATACCACTCCTTCTATTTAGACCAGTTCCTGATGAATTAGTACCTACTTTGTAGAAAGAACAAAAATGTTCATCGGGACAAATTCCGCAAGCCGCGAAACTAGACTTGCGAGCTGCCCAAGATTCGCGAGCGCCAGCTATTTTCAGCGTTTCAAGCTCGCGCCCGCGAATCCTGCTTCGCGGGCTGCCCGAAAATTCGCGACCCATCGGCATTTTCAACAGTGGAAACTCGCCCCGCCCCCGCGAGTCCTCGCCCCGCGCCCGAGAGATCCCGCGCGCCCGTGTTGCTTGCACACTAATGAAAGTATCAATTTTGGGAATTATAGTACCGCTTCTTCTTCTACGTGATACCTGTTTTTGATCAATTAGTACCAACTTTTGGTCAACATAAATGGATTTTTCAATTGTGGTCAACATTTGCAATAATTGGTACCAGATCTAGAGTAAGATAGTACCAGCTTTCGGTGTTTTAGTACCGGATATCGGGTCTTTAGTACCAACTCCGACGAACATAATAAAACACCGAATTTAGGTCTCAAATTTTGTATGTATGACCAATAGTCACTCTCACATAAGTTTATATGAAATTTAAAATGTTTTAAATTGAAAATAACCGTAAAATGGTCATTAACTCGACATATTAATGAGAAAATACTATTAATACACTTCACTTCATTGAATGATACACTTCATCTCATAGAATCATCATATATGACTACTCTAAATTCTATATATATATTTTAACTTCCACTATTTTTCATCCAAATCAGACGTGAATGATCCACGTGTCATGATAAAAATGAAGGATTAGAGAAATTACGATTATTAAAATAGCACATGTTTTAGCTAATATAGTACCACATATTCTTCCACGTGGTACCTGATTTTGATAAATTAGTACCAACTTTTTGTCAACGAAAATAGATTATTCAATTGTGGTCAATATTTGTAATAATTGGTACCAAACCTAAAGTAAGATAGTACCAGCTTTCGGTGTTTTAGTACCCGATATCGGGTCTTTAGTACCAACTCTGACGAACATAAAAAAACACCAAATTTCGGTCACAAATGATGTTTATAAGACCCATGATCACTCTTACATTAGTTTATAAGAGATTCAAAAATGTTTTTTCATTGATTTTAATCGTAAAATGGTCATGAATTCCACGCACTAATGAGAAAACACTACTACTACACTTCACTTCATAGAATGACACACTTCATCTCATAAAGTCATCATACATGACTACTTCAATTTCAACCTATATGTTTTAACTTCCACTATTTTTCATCCAAATCACGCATTAACGATCCACGTGACACGGTAAACATGAAGGATTAGAAAAATCACGATTCTTCAAATAGTACCCGATTTAGCAACGACAGTACCACATTTTCTTCCATTTAGTACCCATTTTTTTATCAATTAGTACCTACTTTTGGTCAACCAAGATGGATTATTTTAATTGTGGTCAACATTTAAAAAAAGTAGTACCAGTCATAGGGTAAGTACCACATTATGGGACTTTAGTACCATTTTTCGCTT